AATATCAAGACAGCCTTCAGCACTGACCAAAAAATAGCCAACATGGTAGTGTAGAATAATCATATCCAAGGACCAGTGGTGGGTTTCAAAAAATTTTGGAACCTCTTCTGTAGGTGTGGCCTGCTTTCTGGGTCCACTTGTGGAACCTCTTCTAACCAGTTCGGTAGATTTGACAAACAGGTTCGAACTGGTAGGAACCCACCTCTGATCCTCAGCCACAGACACAAATTCCAGTCTAATGTGATCGTCAAAATTTGCTAAAAGCTCTTAACTGCTAACATTTCATGCAAAGCGTGCTTTGGGTCCTAAATATTTTCTAATTTTGTCTATGGACTTTCAGCAAAGTAATCCAAACAAGTCACAACTAACCTTGTAGCTACCTAGACACCGCTACAGAGGGAGGGTGGGACTCTGCTTCTCTTTCTCAGTTGTTTGAGCAGTTATTAAGCATTTTCCCCACTTCAACACTTGTGAGAGCAGAAACAATCCCACTGTATTTTATTACAAGTACTTCCTTAAAGGCCATTACTAATGATACGGGAGCAGCTCTTTTATTATTATCATTGTTCTCTGCTATATTGCATAGCAGTCCAAACAACTCTTCGGAGAGCAAAAGTGCCGAGTGCCAATCTTCTTTGTCAATTCCCCAGTTACGGCAGATGAAAATTATCTTGACGCTCAGTGCATTTTTCTGGATGTTATCCAGTACTGCTGTTGTAACCTCCTTTGAAGCATCGTGCTGAACACAGATTCAATTTCTGAAGCACCTGAAGGCAGTGTCAGCATTAAGAAACTGTGCCAAAGCCATCACACTGGTAAAGTGGAACAAAGAAAGGATTCTGATGCCATTGAGAGGAGAAAAGAAAGGATAGAAAGGGAAAGGAGAAAAGGATTCTCTAAAATACTTGGCAGGAAGTTGCAGAATTTCAAAGGCTTGCCTAAAGTAAATACTGTAACACTCAGTCTCTCGGCTAAGAACAAGCTCCGTTCCTAACTCTGTCTTTAACTCAAATTTGTACGTAAGCGTTGTGATCCGCTGGCGGCCTGCGGAGCTGGCAGCAGAGTTGGACAGTGAGGAGGCTGGCGAGGAACATGGGCCAGTCCTGGAGTCTGGGGAAAGCTCGGCCGAGGGCTCTGCATTGGAGGTAGAGAGGGTGCCAGGGCAATCTAGGAAATGTGTTGCCTCCGAAGCTTCCAGAGTCAGACATCAGTGAGGCAGAGGAACAGGGGGAGCCTGTTCTCAGTGCATGCATGCACAGAGCTGCCAGAAGGCAAGAACTATTAAGACAAAAGGGACAA